TATCTACATGTCTGGTTTAATAACTCCTAGAGGAAATTAATGGTGATCATTATTTCTAGGCAGACTGTTATCCACAATAATATTGCAGCACATTTCAGGATACACTACATTATTTTATGTTCCTAAAGACAGTGAGAGTTGCTACTTCATATATTATGGAACTGGATGTATAGTTGTTGCTTTCATTACTGTTCATGGCCATTGTTCAGGCAGGTGAAAACCACCAGATGAAAAACTGGGGGATTTTTTTTCTAGAAATCACAAATGTAGAAGAAAAAAACTGAGGGCAAAAACCTGTTCCCTCTGCAATAGTCATCTTAACAGCAGATCCCAGAATGGGCTAAGGCCAAAAAGAGCAAGGCATTCAGAAATCAGAAATACAGCTGGGCATTACATTTCACTGCATAAAATGCCTTTGTGCACTGCAAACATATATACAGGTCTTGATGTCAAAGGTAATTTTACTTCGTATCTGATGGTGGCAAAATTGTTCATCCAACCACAAAAGCCAGTCCTGTAATCCTGCTGCGATCAATGAGGCATTGATTTATGCTCTGCCTTGGAATTTGTAAAGTTTTGCTGTAGTAAATGGCATCATTATGTTCGTGTCAGCAATACAATCCTGACTTTGATTTGCAAACAGTTCCCCAGATAGTATGTACTGACCACTGAGTTCAATACAAAGTAAAATTTCACACTGATTTCAGAACAAAAAATAATCCATATAGATAACAATTTGAAGTTGTTTATAGAGAAGGTATTTTAGATGAGATATTTGAAACATCCATATTGCAAGCTAATTTTTCATCAGTTGGTCAAATGATACAATTGGCCAGTTAAAACCTTCTGATCAATACACTAACCCATGATTAAACAGCCATTTCACCATATAATGTTCTTGTCTTGTGGTGGTCTAGCATCAATGTAAACAGTGTTTATAGAATTAAAACAACCATATGACAGAGATACCATAGATGTCGGAAAAGTATCACAGAAAAACAGAAATACAATTAAAAATGAAAGGCACAGAAAAATAAAAAAGGGAAAAAAAAGGATTTTGTTCAACCAGAACAAAACTTTGTGTTTAAGGACTATTTTTCAGCAAACATAGGTTTAATAAGCTGCTGTTCTACTCACCAGGAAGTCCCCAAGACTTACAATAACAATCTGGTTTTATTTCTGCACGGATTTAACTTTTATAATACAGAGGAAATTTATTAAGTAATCTACAAGCTGCCAGAGGGTAGCTTTATCACAGAAAAGAAGAATGTTAATCAATTTGTGATACCTTTCAAAATACACTAGTTTTGACACAGTCTTTTTTAGAATAAAATGAATGCTTTCCAGAAAATCACATTTTTTTACCTTAAGAATTTCCTCTTTTTGCTGGGCTTTTTGTTTATCAGATTCATCCAACAGTATTTCAGCACGATACATCCAAGTTGTGACATTAGCTACATTCTGATCAAAAGCCTCCATGTGCTTTTGATATTCCTGTATGTGGAAAAGGTAAATACTGCATACAAAAATGTAATCAGAACTGAAGTAACAGCTGCAATTATGCCAACTGTGGCAAACATGCACACATCATGACATTATGAAAACTTGCTCATTTTACACAGCCACTGCTTGTTTGGTGAAGGACAGAATCTGCTGCTTGTTTGCTCTCACTTCATATAAATTCTTTAAGAAGACATTCTAGGAAAAAGAGGAGCTTCGGAGTGACAGGCAGAGAGAAGGGTGAAAATCACCCAAGACACAGATGTCTGCAGCTCAGCAAGGCTGCTCAGAGAACAGGGAGCTATTAGCCAGACCTACTGCAGGGGGAAAGAAATCTCCTGAGAACCAGGTCCAGAATTTATTTTGGGAAGACACTAGTTTGTCTGAAACTCAGATGGCAACAAGGATGCACTTGCAAAGTCACAATCAGGAACGGGAGCTTTGTATCTAAACCTCTCATTTACATTTCATCAAACTTCTCCGCTTTGAGACTTGGGTTTTTATAAAGCTGTTCTAGATAAATCTTCATTTCTCTATGTAAATTAAAAACTTTGTCTGTTTTGATGAGCTCACTAGAATGTGGCCTAACCACGTCCCACACAAGACATGTGTATATAGAACCACACACCTGATACCAAAGATTTTACTAGTTCTTTTGGCCCCACATGTATGTACCTTTATTTCACATGGTTCTAAAATTTGCAAAAAAACCCCCAACTGTTTCTCTTAGGCCTTTTTATTTTAGGGTCTAGTAAATATTAACAATAGAATCCAAAGCAGAGAAAAAGGAACAGGAACATGTATCAATCTGTAAGCTCCATTATATGCTTCCTATAAGCAGTTCCACATTGAATCTGTGCACCTTCATTATCCTGAATGAAATGCTTGTTTTCCAGATCCTTCCACTGCCCTGCACACAGCTAAGGGTGGATATCCATCACAGCCTCACCCACAACGTGGCCACACAGACTCTGGGCAGCTCCAACACACTAGGCTAAAAGTCACGATAGAGGCTAACACAGCCCAGAAAAATCACTTCGGTTTCACTGGGTTGGAAGTGTATTCCCATGTTCTCAGGGGCAGAAATGACATGTAAGATTTCCCAGAGCATTCTGGCAGCCCCATGATTAAGACTCTCCTGTGTTTAAGGGTTCAAGCTGTCATCTGTTTGTGATGAAATGAATCTTAAGGTAGAATTAATTCTGTGACCATCAAGAGTTTCAAGCAGCTGGGGCTGAGGCTCCTGAATCTATATTGATTGTGTATAGTGATTTTACTTTCTCCTAGGCTGAATCCAGTGCCCTTAAGGAATCATCCCCACCATAACAGGCCCTATAAAACTATCCAAAGGAGGATCATGCAGCTCTGAAAGGCAAAATCATAGCCCTTCAGCACATCAGGTGTGCACCCCGAGCAGAGCTTCTGATTTAGCTGCCTCTGAAATTAATCTAATTCACACACACCAGAACTGCCCTGTGCACCAAACCAACCTGCAACTGGAGACTTACTTCCCAACTGTCCTATTTCAAACATAAATGCCAATGTAGACAAAAGCAGCCAAAGTTGTTGGTAACAATACCAACATTTACTCAACTTATTTGACTGTTTCTTTCACTTGATCCGTATCTAAGTAGTCTTTGTCTTGGGGAGAAACTGCATGTCATTTATTAGGGAAAAAAACCAAAAGCAAAACAGTCCAAGAACTACAGAGACAGACAGGAATGGGAAATGCTAACAATCAAGACTCGGCTCTGTAAGAAATCAGATTCTTCAAACATACACATTGTACTAAACAACAATCCACCTGCTTGTGTACCTTTGTTTTCAACCAGCACAGTCCAAGGCAGCAGAAAAAGCACTTCACTAAGGCTGAGCATGTACCCTGGGAACCAACACTTCCTCTGTGGGAACAAACATGTTTTCCTTACCAGTAAGAGATTGAACCATTCCTCAGCACGGGATCAGATTCTTCAAACATACACATTGTACTAAACAACAATCCACCTGCTTGTGTACCTTTGTTTTCAACCAGCACAGTCCAAGGCAGCAGAAAAAGCACTTCACTAAGGCTGAGCATGTACCCTGGGAACCAACACTTCCTCTGTGGGAACAAACATGTTTTCCTTACCAGTAAGAGATTGAACCATTCCTCAGCACGGGACGTTACTGTGCAGGCTGAGTTTATCCTCCACTAGACTTTCCCTTCCTTTCAGCACTGTCTTCAAATTCTCTCCCAAATCACTGATGCTCTTAAGATGTGCCTGGCGTTTCTCAATCTCCTTCCGGGTCGCCTAGATGAGCAGAGTAAGAAACAAAATTTCTGAGAATCAAAATTTCTCCACACTAAGAACATGAAACATTAAAACAGGGATCAAGTTCATGCTAGAACGCAGACAGGAACGGAAGGGAAAGCATTCTGTGGAGAGCAGTAAATATAAGAATGGAGTGAAGAAAATTTCTATGTGCCTCTACACTGCCTGTGTGCTGTGGATTATTGGCAAGTAATCTCTGCAATTTGAATCTTTCTAAAAGAATTTAGTTAGGTGGCTCAGCTCTCACAGGTGGCATTACAACATTAATCTCAATCCAGCGTTATGGGCTTCCCAGTGGTTGATTATACATATTTATCTGTTTATCCACAGCACATCATTTATTTTTCTTGTATTCTGGTCACTGACTATGAACCAGTTGACACAATTTTCAGTTTGTCTTCTCTTATGGAATTTATTGACAAGAAATATGTTGTTAAACGCAGTTCTAAGTACTTCAAGTCAACTTTATGCTCAATGGTATTACACACTGTGTTAGAATAGCAGATTAAAGCATTGGCAGACTCCTAGTGCTGATAGTAGGGAGTGATACAGAATTTTCCTGATAATACCATCTGCCATTTCCTTTTTGAGAACATGGTTTCCTGGCAATCTAATTCTTATCAGGCTGGTTCCTGATGAAAAGACAAATAAACCCTGCAGTGGTTAATGTCGTCAGTGATAAATATGTTCACTAAATCAGACTTCTAATTATAAACGGATTTCTAATATACAATGTTTAATGACTATCTTTCCACCCACATGTCATTTTTCTTATCTATTATAACAGAACTGAATTCAAATGGAAAGATTTAGCTTGTCTCTACTGAGCAAAAGGGCAGGATTTACAGTCTTCAGCATAATGCCCATCTCATTTCACATAACTCAGCCAAGGTTCTGTTCAATCCCTAGAAAAATTCTAGGCAGGCACAAATAAGTAACACAGTTCCCCTGATGTCCAGATTAATGCTATGTTTCATTAACATAATTTCCCACTCAAGATGGGGGTTCCTTTTTATTTCTAGGTGTTTATACCTTGAAGACAATGTTCACATGTATGATTTTTTTTTTTGGTTCTAAACTATGCCATTATCTTTGGAACCCTCTGAGTTTGTTTCACATTTATGAAGTCTTAAAGGGTGCTGAAAATGAATTAGAAATAAGTGCACTAATAAATATAACTGCTCCTTGGGCTGCAAAGAAAAGAGATGATGAGCTTTCTGCTTAGTTATATCAATAACAGCTTACATCAAATTTTCAGTTCATTCACACTACTGAGCTCTCTTCTCTCCCTCTCCATTCTCCATCTCAGTTTTTCTGCAGACTTTTCTCACAATAGGAATCTGTTGGGCTCAATTCATCTCCCAGTGCATTTCATTAGATGTTACTGTCTTTGGCAGCCAACTAACCCGGGAAGTCCAAAGCCCAGAGCTGAGACATTAATCAGACACTCTGAGGCTCTGGTTCTGGGGACTAAATTATTGATGTACAATTTTGTGTGATGCCTCAATGAAATTCACACAGGAGTATCAGCATCATCCTTATTTATGAAGTCCTCACAAGAATTTTAAAGTGTCCAGGATAAAACGCAGCAATTTCTGCCTCCTAGTGGGAGCAGATTCCTTAGGAAAAAAGTATAAAACACCTAACTCCTGCAAATAATTCCATTTGGAAGGCTAGGATTTGCCACCTATACTATCTGTTGGACTGTTCAAAATTAAATGTCTCCTTATATATGTGAATATTGGTTTATACTTCCTGAAAAAAGAACCTCAATAATGGAATTCTGAAAGCCACATACATACTTCAGCAAGAGGAAGCTGCTCTCATCCAAAGCTGTTTATTCTTATTTTAGTGATGAATTGACTTAAGGTGAAGAGCTGAGGTACTGTATGAAGTCAGACTGCAGTAAAAGCTTTGGGCAGGATTTGAAGCCAGAATATACTGTTTAAGGGGATTTCTGTTGTCCTTTTTGAAATTATGTGGGAACGCTTGTTCAAAATGCTGCTGGCTGAACATAATTATTTGAAATCTTGAAGCTTTGGATAATGCTAAGCATAATTTGCTCTAAAATGCAGATTTTGGCATGTGTGAACAACAATGACAAGGTTTGTTTATGTTCTGGGTTAGATTGGATTTTTATCACATATGTCGAAAATAAAATAGATTAGCTCGAGTTGAGTGATACTTTGCTAAGACTGAACATCAGAGATACTCTGATATAGAACTCCTGCATTCCTCAGCATGTCTGTAAGATACTTATCTAAACTGTGATTTTGAAGGAAGTTTCTGTTTAGGCCTTGGGTTTTAACCTAAAATATGATCCCAAGGTGAAGTCTCATGGAAGTACAAAGATCCCAGGATGAAAACAAATGAGCTACAAATCTAAAAGGGTAAGAAAACAAATATCCTGACTGCTATGTGAACATAGAGAATATATAGTGTTCTGCTGTGGCTCATCTTTCATCTGCCATTTAATACCTTTCTAACCATGAGCAGAAAGGGGTGAGAGAGAAAGGGATCTCTATTTACACGGACACTGGCTGGATAATTTATAGCACTTTAGAGAAAGAAATTCTAACTTTAACTTCACCTCAGTGAAGATTATTGCAATATTAAGGTGAATTGTCCTACTGATATGTGCAGAGATGAGAGTTTAAGCTGTTCTGCGTGTTAATGTTAGGGTGAGATAATACCACAACACTTACAAAGTTCAATTAATTAGAATGCCAGAACTTTAATTCACTTTCTTTATCGAGAAAGAACTCTATCTCTCTGTAACATGCATATGTGTGTGCTGCACTGTTACCTTGCCCCAGGCCATTTCAGCATCCAGGTTGCCAGGTATGCCCTGCGCCGCCGATCTCTTGGTCAGCTCTGCGTCGGTTGCTGCGAGCCATTCTGTCAGAGCAGTCATTTCTTTTCGCAGCTTCCGGGACAATTTCAAGCACTTCTCTAACTCTTGCTTTTTTTCTGTCACCTGTGGAAAGAAAATGCATGGTTATTAACCCTTCAGTGAAACAGGTTTCATGACTTTGATACACCATTTTCTGTATTGCATTTGTCCATAAAACCGAACTCGTGCTGCACAAGCAAAGTTGCAATTTTAAAACAGTTATGTCTTGCCTTAGTTCTCCCAATATCAGTCACTGCTGCTAGAATGCAAACACCTGCAAGAAAATTATTGCATAAAGACCCACTGAGTTTGAACTAGCTGCAGATCTCCTGCAAACATCCTCTGTTTGGAAGTCATGCATGGCAAACTGCTTTGGAACAACTCAACTAACAGGATTTCCTTGAGATACAAAATAGATGCTAAAACCCCTCAAAGAGTATATTTTAATATTGGTGGCCATACAGGGATAGGGATTCCTCAAGGGTTTTCTTTTTTTCTATGTAGCTATGCTATATAGAAGAAAAAATATCAAAGAAACCCTCACGTAATGATACACAAAATTCACTGTACAATGCCAAAGTAAGGCAGCACCATCAACTTGGAAGTTTTTAATTTTCTGAATGTTTTTGGATGTGAAGTACTGTGCACAACCTCTGCTTTACCTGTAGAGTTCTTTTAAGCATGTTACACGGTACTAGAAAGAAGGTTGAGGATTTAGGTTGCTTTGACTGTCTCACACTGCATTTTGAGGTGATCTGAGGAATAGAGCAAATATAATCTTTCCTGAAAGCTCCTAAGAATCTTCAGGGAGAATGAGAAAAGGTTCCATGTAATTAGTAGAGAAGGCAGAAGAGTAAATAAAGAGATCTCACAAAAGAGATCACCACAATAGACATTAGACAACTAATCAGAAAATAAAGAATAATCAATCATGTTGTGATGAAGTTTTAAGAAACCCAATCAGAGAAGGAGGATTAAATATGTCTCTAATATTTAAAGAAATTATTAATTACTTTTCATGTCAATTAGTAATCAAGTAAGACTGTAGTCACTGATTTGTATTATTATTTGTATTTTTAAATAGAAAAAAATTCTACAGCAGTGTCAGGTATTCAAAACCGGTATTGGTATCTACTACAACTGTTTTGGGCTTTGCCACTGAGCACAATGATCGAATTCATTCCCAGCTCAGCGGCCAAGGAGAATTTGAGGTTTGAAAATGTAATAGGATGTTACAAGGTTAGGTACATGGCTTTTGCTAGCCCTGAGTAAAGAGATGAGATTTGCCCAGGGAACAAGCAGTAAAGTGTTCCTGATAATTTATTATCACTCTGTAGAGCCTTACTACTAAAATCTCAGAACATTTCTCCTTCCCTGAATATGCTTTATGTGCTTTCTTGCATGCCAAATTTATTAAATGAGACCACAGAACTTACAGTCAGGCCAAGGTGTAAATCCCTGGGAAGCAGCATAAAACTCAGCTTTTTAGAACTCCACTCACACATGGAGCCAGCAATGCACACATTCTTCACCTCTTCTTCTGAAGAGTTGGAATAATAATTGCAAATCACTATTTGCATGCACTTAGCAGTACTGCAATGCCAAGTGCATTACACTGAGTCTGTCTGAGAATTCTAAACTCCTGTATACTACAAAATGAAGCTACTGATACATGTCAAAACAGAAAAAGAGTATTTGTGTTGCTATACACATCTCTAAATTATGCCTATTATAGAGATAATATTAGAATTTTTCCACACACACTGTAATATTTAGAGGTGACTGATTAATCCGTTTGTTAGTGCTTCAAATGTAAAGATGTATTTTCTAAAGAAAAATAGGAAGCAGTGCCCTCTAAAGGCCTCGTGTCTCACACAGTGTGATTAAAGTTGGGCTATACATGAGGGGCTCTCTTGAAGCAGCACAGCTCAAACCACACAAGTGACCATGTGCTCTTCCCTCAGTGTGGACATTTGTCCTGAGACTCACTATTAGTTAGAACTATTATCAGTATACTCTGAAAAAGACTTTGTGCAATCAATTAGGGCTGACACTTGCTAAATCATTCTTTTATTTCTGGAATTCTGGGACTTTCTCTGAAACTGGAACTACCCTGTCATGTGAAAGAGAAGGTGAGGAATTACATCCAGGACAGCACAGCAAAACAGATTTGTGAGACATTAATTTGCAATATGCCTCACTTAGATCACTAATGGCTCCCTAATGGAACATTTCAATCCCTTCATTAGTTCCGAGAGCTTTCCTGGAACAACAGCACCTGTTTGCTCTTAAGTTAAACATGATGTGGAATAAAAGCTGCAGCTCTTTCCAATAGAATGGAAACCCAAACGTATTCTCTGCTCCCAAATGAAGCTATCCACACCCTAATGAAGCAGACTCTCCAGTTTTCTTGACACTCAATAGATTGATGTATCTCAATACTTTTACTTTTTAGCAAGAGAGAAGTCTCTTAATTCAGACTCCCAAATGAGTATTCTCTCTGCCAAAGTAACATCACTTTTATTGCTTATCATACTGCAGTCAGCAAGGCTTGACTCTCATTATCTGTTTAAACCACATACTGACTCTCAGTATTACCAAGGGCTCATTTTCCTAGCTATTAATAATTTATTATTTCAATAATTTATAATCTTAAAAGAAGTAAGAATCTGCCTCCTGTCCTGTCTTTTATATTTGAAATGTGTATATTTTAGAGATAGACAGGTATATCTATCATTCACAATCTTCAGTCATCCAGTCACAGTACCAAATTTGCTCTAATCCTACAGTTTTTAGAAGTTTTGTGAGTAGTTCTAATGAAGGTAAGAAGAACAGAATAGTACTGAAGGATAGTTTAAATTGAATTACTTAATTTCAGCCTTCTTTAGGACAATGCCACAGCTCCAGAGCTCCAAGGTCCTTGTATGAGCATGGTCCTTCATCCATCAATAATGCAGACCCACCAAAAAAAGCCTTTAAGGACTGACAGAGGATTTTTATTTTTTAAATCATAGTCTTGTTAATATTGATTAGCAGCCTGTCCTTCCTACTCCCTGTTTAGTTGACTTCAAAAATTGAGTAAACAGAACGTTTTCTCATTAGGAAGTGGCTCACATAATAAAATACAGTGAAAATAAAAGTCAGGGTTGTTGCTGACATTTAAATCAGGGAATGTTTATGACAGGAACTGACCACATGCATGTTACAAGTGCAGCAGACACAAAGCACAGTGGGGCACAAATGCCACTCAAGGAAAGCTGCAATGGCAAGAACTTTTTGGTCAACAGATTTTTAAACAGCAAGAAATAGGAATTATTTACTTTAAGATCTGTACAGTCAGAGGGAGAAGGAAATTAAAAGGTAGAATTTTCTATTTTATGAAGTATCTCTTTCAGTAAAACTTCATCTAAGTATTTTTCTGAGCTCAAGTGTTTTGAAACAAGTGACCATTTCAGGCATTAAAGTGAAACAACATCCCCCATCTGACCTCTAAAAGCCAGTGAACTAGGAGAAAAAAAATAGCAAGAAAGTATAATTGGAAATTGTAATAAAGGAATTTTATATTTTCCTAGATGGCTGTACTTGTCTCAGAGCAGCTGAATAGCCATGCTGATGACTCTTTGCCTCTGTTCTTTGTTCCACTGTTTAGAAAATGGGAGAACTTTGAAAGGAACCAATTAAAAAATAACATTTACTTACCATACCAAGATTATCCTTCACTTGGGCAGTTAAAAAGAGCACATAGTTTTGCAATAAAAACACTGAGCTTACCTTTGCACCCAGTTCATTATATTGCAGCTTCAAAGCTGTGAGTCTTTCATCCAGTTCCTTTGGGTTCTCTGTCTGCTGCTTCTGCACAATCTGCCTCCCAGTTTTGATCACCGTTTCCACTTCAGACTTCACCTCACTCAGGTTTTTATACAATTTCTAATCAAACAGAAGTATAAAAGTGAAGCACCACCATTAAAATATGAAAACTAGAAAAGCCCATTGAAGGTATTCTAAAGGCACACTAAAAATCTCTGCACTGTTTGCTGTATCCATCATGCAGGAGCACCTTCCACTGCCACCTGACAGCTAAAGGAGTGGAGAGGTACCATGGTATGTGACCTGAGGAGACAGAAAACTCACTCTGTGTGTGTATTAAAAACGTTTATAGGAATATTTAACGAGTTTCTAAATCAGAATTCAAACTAACAGATTCAGAAGAGCCTATCTCAACTCAAAGTGACCTCAAAGACACATCACTAAAACTAATGGTAGAAATGTTATACATAAGAAAGTAAACACCATTACTAACTGTTTTAGGATGTGCCAAAGGTTGTTTTCAAACTGATTTAGATAATGCAGTATTTAAAACAACAACAGATGTCTTCTGTCAACTCATACAGATTGTTGGATTTATTTGAACCACAAACAGGCATGAACTTTGAAATCTGACAGGTTTCCATACCACTACAGCAAGAGGATTACCCCTGCATTTACAACATGTTATAGTCTTAAAAATAATTAATTAAAAAGCTTATATAAAAAAACATCATGAGGTTAAGCTAAAGTACAGAATTCATTGCATTTTCCTGCACTATTTCAATTAATAAGCAAGAAATAAGGGAAAAACAACTGTTCAGTAAGTGATGCAAACAATCTGTAAACACATTATACTTGCCTAATATTTCAAATGAGTGATGCTAAGAAAAACAAAAGGCTTCTTTCTTTCCATATGCAGAAAGTTGGTATCATTATCTAAATGTATGACTTGGTAACTCAAGTCATTTAATAGCCACATAAATGGCCAATTAATATTCATATAAATAATGCAGAAGTTGAATTCATTTTTCTTTTTAATCTAAGAATAAATTTTGCTATGGCTTGGAAATTCCACTGAATTCCACAGTGGAAAAAAGACTCCACAGAGATACACAATGTCCATTACCACACAGGTATGTGAAGAACTGCAAATATGAAGCTGCTGAGAAGTTTTATTTTTGAGATCTTTAGCTTAATTCTGTGTTCCAGCATATTGCCATTATGTGATGAAAAATAAACTTACTGTCCTATATATTTAGACAAAATTGCAAAATAAATTACACTGTACTTTTTAATTGGTCATTTTTTAAGCTTTTCTTTTAGTACCAGTATTTGTCTCTAGCATGTCTGGACAGTAAAGACAAGACCTTTTTCCAGAAGATAACAGAAGTGCATTTTCTCCATAATCTAAAGTTAACTACCAAGACATTCTTCACATGTTTATTATTTTATTTATCTAAAGATACCATGTATATAGACTAACTACTTTCTAGATATCAAATACCTAAACATTCTCCATCAATAAGAACCTGTCAATAAATTATGAAGCTGTTGCAGGATGCACATTGTCTAACTTCTGATTACATATTATAACTAGATTTTAAAACCAGAAACATTATGAGATCCTTTGTAGATAAAGATGCTGTAAAATCACTGTGTCTTCCACAAAATACCATGTCATTCTGGTAAGAATGGGAATTCAAGAGCAATTGCATTTAAGAAAAAAAGGATGTAAAGAAATAACATTGATTTTCCCCATGCTTATTTTTTGAATTTAAATTATTTCTTACATTTACATCTGAAAGAGGTTGAGGCAGAGAAAAAAAGTCTTCAGGCAAATGAACAAAAAAACCCCAAAACAAACCAGCTGATTTTTGCTGTTAAAATCCCCATTTTATTATTATCAAGCACATAGTATTCATCTTTAGCTTTACTTCCCTTCAAGAGGAAAGAAGCAGAGGATTAAAGGGATATTAAATCGATATGTATGGATTTTCCTCATATCCTTTAGGATATAGTCAGGTCATCTTTTGCTCTTGAACTGTAGAGAGGTCATAGCATACCATCTCAAGGAAATTGTAATATATGTTTTTCCCTCATATTTTGTGTTTCCAGGCTAGAATGGACTTGTGCCCTGCACCATCTCTTTTGGCAAATCATCTCGGAGTGTAGATTACTGTGGAAAATAGAGCTGATCCAGGGAGATAAACTCTTATGCAGGATGGGAAGTAGGATCCTAACTGACCTTCTCACACCATGAAAGTGTATGACTATTGTTTGGAGGTTCACTGAAACGAGAATATTTTTAAATATTTGTGTGTATGTGAGTAAGTCAGGAAAACAATCTGCAATTTTTCTCTTTCTCCACATAAATCCCATAAAAAGCATCTTGAAATATTCACCATGCAATGATCCAACTGTGATTGTACCACTTCCTGCTCAACACTCCTCATCTCCAGCCTGGGCACCTGCAGCTTCACCTCCTCCAGGATCCTCCTGCACTCCTGCAGGCGCTGCTCGAAGTTGGCTGGTTTCTGGAACAGGCGGAACCTCAGCGACACGTCCTGCAGCTTTTTCTGGAAAGAGACACGGGGAGTGTGAGTGTGGAATCAAATCAATGCTGATGACAAGTTTTAGGCTTGTTTCAGAATACTTAGAACCCATGAGCAATCCGTAGTTTCTCAATTGAAGAACCTTTGGTGAAAATGCTGTGGCAGAGAAACTTGTTCTTCACTGGAGGAGAGAACTGTGAGGATCCAGGCATTGGATCCAGCAGAGCCCACAGACACAAACAAAGGGAGAGGTTTTATGTTTCCCAATATGCAAAGTTTTGGGGGGCAAAGAGAGACTGAATGGCTTGGTCACCACACATCCTCACTGCAGAGTGAACACTCATCAGCTCCATCAGCTGCTGCTCCTTGGTGTGAGGAATGAATCTTTCAGTCCCTCAAAGCAACTCAAACAAAGTAGCTCAGCAGTAAGTGGGTCGAGCACAAACCCCGAGATTTAGAGTAAAAAACTGACTTCTATTTCAATTTAAAAAAGCCTAACCTAGAGTAAAAAGAGAGTAATGTGAAGGCAGAAAAATCTATGACAAGCTTGGCTTCTAATTTCAGAAATTTTACAATTTGCTATTTTTGTGCGTTAATTGCGTTGCTTGCTCACAGGATCCCTACCTCAGGGGGAGGGGAAATAATTAAAAATAAAGCAAAGAAAGGGCACTTTAATTATCTACTTGAAAAAGAACTAATATCTCTGTAGAAGCAAAGAGCAATTATTGAACAAATTTTTCAAATGTTTGGAAAAAAACCCCGAATGAGCGTCACTAAGAAATAGATAAGTAATAATAATCTGCAAACACACTTTGGATTTTTTTACTCTTCAAATCCTCGACACTTTATTCCACTACAGTGTGGTACATACCACACAAAGCTGAGAAAAACTGCAATGTGAAATAGATTTAGTCTGAACATAGGCATCAATAAACATTCTTCCCACATCTGTCAGATTCCTGAGGAGGAATGATGAGCACAGGAAAGCAATGCAGACAGTCAGCAGCTCCTTCCAACAACCTTCCTCATTAAATACTTCCTAGGAAATTCAGATCCAACAAGGTAAGAAAGGATATAAATAGGAAACAAAGGGCAGGAATAAATGGTCTTATTTTTCTTCAGTGTTTGCATACACTAAATTCATATGTAATTACTTTTTCATCCTCTCACGACACTTCAGTTTGATGAAGATCAAGTCCTGTGGGAAGTTTGCATTGCCACATCTGTATCAGTTACAATCTGAGTTGATCAATACATTAAAAATTATTTAGGAAAGAGAGAGAATGACAGGATTAATGACAGAGAGATTAAAGCCATCTGAGAAGAGCCTCCGAGGGATTGCATAGTACTGAGAAAAAAATGAGCAAATTACATTTAATTCTCCCCAAAATTAAGCAATGCAGAGAAACACTGAGCTCGATACACAACAAGTGGGATCTAAATTATCTTTCAGCACTCTCAGTGAGTTCCAACAGGTAAGTATAACAACTATATTATATACTTACATTTATCTCCAGTAGTTCTAAAATTCTATCATCTCAATGCTTAAAGGCAGCAAAACAAGCAATGTGTGTATTTGGAATGATTGGGAACATAAACAAAAATGAAAATACCTGTCACAGTATAAATGTTGTTTTGAAAACTTATTGTAAAAATAAAAAAATTATAAATAAGGATGACAGGATAATGAAAGTTGTTTAGTCAAAGGTCTCAGTATGATACAACATATTAGTCAGCCCAGAAAAGAGACAAGTGAGGCCAAATAAAATTAGTCATATTCAAAATGTTAACTTGCAAAATATGCAGTACAGTATTTCCAAAATTAGCAATTCCTTAGAGACCATTTCACTTTCAAGCAGCAATCCTCAGTCTGTTAGGACTAACTATGTATTACATCACTACGGGACAAAGAGATTTTTATTTTGCTAATCATCCTTTTCCCCTTACCTTTAAAAATCAGAACTTAACTACCAAGTTAGAATAATCCAAAGAGCCAAGGTAAACTGGGTCACAACTGAAAGGTGTTTCATCATCTCAATGCAATTCCTTATTTTCATAATTATTTACTTTCTGTCTAGGTAACTGAACTAACATTAGAAGAATTATGTCATAATAATATCACTTAGTGCAAAAAGAGCAAACACATTTTTTGTTTATTTATGAGTGAGAATGCTCCTTAGAAAATGGTAAATGAAGACAGATTTCATGAAAGCTGCTTTACCACTAAAGGTACTGCACAATGATGGAGAAGAATTCAAGAGAGTACAAGGGCCTAAAAGAAAATATATCCATAAATATTTGCAACAAAGGGTTCGACATTTTGGTAGTTGACATTTACATTATGCATGCAAATTTACTACTTTTTATTTTATATTTTATCTCATGTCAGCAAGGCAGATTCTCAAGAATGCCCCACCAGTTTGTCAAAACTCAAACTGGTGCATATCATCATCTAAAGGAAACTTAGGAAGCAGAAAAAAGAAAGAAAAGGACACCTAGAGAGGGTAGTGCTCCCTTGCATGCTGCTGAATTTCTAAACATTTAGATAGACATTTAGACCTCATGTCTGCATTTCCCTGGTGAAATATGGGCAACACCTCTGCTGCCAGGAAGAACATCAGAAGGGAAGTTAGGATAGGGAAGACAGAAGAGTAAGAAAACACAAATATTCTCAAGAAAGAAAAGCTAGTCCTGTAGATAAGATGAAACATCAAAAATCAACTCATTCATTTAAAATTAATTAACTGCTTAAAAGCCATTAATATTATGCATGATGAAAAAAACCCCCAAAACTAAGATACCTAGAAATATTTGTCAGAGATGAAGGAAAAGATGTCAATAATGAAATTGTCTTTTGCAATGGGTTATGACAACCTGAGGAACTTCAGTGCTTATGCCAAGACAAAAAAATTATAAATTAAAAAAATAGTCACGAATCCATCACTAATGGGTAAAAATGTGTATTTTTATTTAGTGTTCACTAAGTCTTCTGCAATTCCAGCCAGGTCTCTCTATGTCCATTAAGCTGGATGAAATAAGGCATTAGTTAACAGCTGAAACTGATGTCTGCATCGCACTGCTCAGCAGATTTTGCATTTCATATGCAGTTCCAAGTATCTCCAAACATTCTAACGTACTTTCAGCTTCTTTCAAATACCTCAAAAGGTTTATCAAAAAGCCTGACTGTAGTTTTATTTCTTGCAACTGCAGCACATTCACAACACTCCTCACTCTGTAGTGTCTCTAGCAGTTGGTCACACCAGCCTTGCACACCCCAGATCTGCTGCCACTAGACACAAAGGCTGTGAGACAACAATGAGCAGGGAGAGGATATGGATGGTGTGCTTGACTCTCTCTGATCTCCTGGCCAGAAAGGAGCTGCTAAATCCAGAAGAGATACCTTAAGAACACTTCATACCAGAGTAATAGTACTACTCATGCTGCTCCTTTGAATGAGTGAAGGAAAAAGGAGGAAATCCAAGTTGTATACCTGTGCCACATCAATCTGGGAAAGGACTCTCTTGGCAGCGTCTTTACCTCGGTTTCGTCTCTTCATTTCTTCCAAACTAATCTCGTGGCTTGTTAATTCGGATTGTATTTTCTATTGGAAAACAAAGATGACAAAATTGGTGGTGACTCAGTCTGAATGTTAACAAAATATCCTGTATCACATCCAGTAGTTCAGCTGTTTGTTCACCAACTAAGCAACTTTTGGTTGCAGTTTCCAACTTACTTTGTTCAAACTCAGAGTCACTCTGGAAGGCACATAACTGAACAGTTCTGATCTGAATAGCTCAGAACAGCTTGGTGCAGACAAGAGCAGTGTTTAAGCCATTAGGCATTATGGGACATTGCATGGAGATTGTTCTATCTTACTTTTTAAAATTGCTCTGCAGGAGAGAGGTGAAGCATCACCTACTCTGACATCAAAATGCAGAACTGGAGAGAACAAACATGTTAGAGGAAAGCTTAAAAGAAAAGTTAGCCAGGCTTATAGCAAGAAAAGGTATTTTTTTTATTTGCTACTGCTGCTCACAGGCAGGATCAAACCAGTCCTTGACAGAGAGAAAAGAATTTGTAACACCAGCCTACAATGCCCATTTCCATTCAATTTTCACATGACCATTTTGACTTTTTCATCTTTTGCTCACAAATTTATTGCATCAGCATCTTCTTAATATCTAAAAGGAAACATAATTTTTTCCCTTTATTATCTCCATCTCTGCTTTTCACAGTGGTTCCTTTCTACTTTTTTTAAAAATAAAGAGCAAAACTTTCCTTCATTTAATTTCTAGAACATAAGAATATAACATACTGTATGCAACCAAGCAATACTACTGCACAGAAATTACTGTGCCCTACAGATTAAGGATTCTCATTTGCCATCACTGGCAATTTTTCAGGAAATTTGCAAAACTTTTATTCATATATATATATGAAGAATAGCATAAAGCTCATCTAGAAGATGATGTTACAGCATGAATGACATGCAGGTAAGTCTTAACACAAACTTCAAACTTAATTATGTTCAGTTATTCTCCACAGTATTTTATGTAAGTTGACTGGGAGAACAACAGACAATTGATTTGTCACATGCAGGTGAGAAGTGAAATAAATTTATTTTCTCTCCAATGTTATAAAAATCCTCATGTAGTCACTCAGAGTAAACAGAATTACAAAGTGGAGATTCTCTCTCCCATCAAAAGTTATTGAATAACAAAACTATAAATTATTATCTGGAAAACATTTTGTCATAAAAATTTATTATTTTCAGTACAGATTAATTTTCTTCCTGTCAGATAAAGAGTACTTGAAAAAAAAAGTCAGCAATTGGCAAATTCTTGTGATGATTTCACTCCCTGGATTTTCTTGGTAAGTTTACAGAAGTTAAAGAGACTTCCACTGGGATAATAAGGATAAGCATATGAACAAATAATCTTCCCTTTTGGGATATTGCTTTGGAATTTACCTCATTCCAGCTTTTATCATTATTGGATCCTGAGGAATCTGAACTGACTGATCTCTGTGGCTGCTGAGAGATTGTTTTGTCTGAACACAGCACCTTTACTTCTACTCCAAATAATTTGGATAACACTGACTTTCCAGCATTAAATGCTCAGTGCCACATGGTGGAGTAAGAAGCACAGAATCTACATTCAAAGCAGATCCTAAGGAGAAGCTGAACAGCACATACTTGGCTTCCCTTTCTTTCTGTCAGTTTTTGGAATACACTAAACTACACTACACTAGATTTCACATAAGAGAGAAGAGCTAAATATAATTTTGTTTTCTCAGATTCATTTCTGATCGGCTGAAACTAAGACTATACCTCCTATCAATGCCCTAAATGGATCTGAAGTTTTTGAAGCAAACACACAGAGCTCCCAACCCCTCAGCAGCTTTTTCTGATTAGAAATTCTCCCATATGTTCTTTCAGAAATGCAGAACATATTGCTGCAGGTTTGCTAAATCCCTCAGCATGGACAAACCGTCCCTGCCCAGACAGCAGCATCCCTGGCTGGAGATTTCCATCCCAGCTGTGCAGACACCACTGCAGGGGATCTGAAATGAGTGAACTGCTCTCAGCATCCCAGCAGAGCTGTGCCAGCAGCACAGGAGACCTGGCCATGCAGGGTGTGCTCAGTCTGCCCAGCCTGGCACTCAGTGCATTTACCCAGAGAAAACTGATTGTTTATTCCCTTTCCCTCCAAGGATTTTAAATAACTTCACCAGTGAACTTTACAGAACATCAATATTTGCATGAAATCTGTTCAGCTGTTAATTAAGTTCTTTGTTTCATTAGGTCTCGCTGGTATCTTAAAATAAAAACATGAAAGCAAAATCTCAGCAGCCTCTATGCTGCTTTCCCACAGTGGATATAGTACAGTCAGGTGAACTTGATGTCGGACAATAAAACCACAACAAAAAAACCAAGTTCTGCAAATCACTGAGCTGAAATTCTGAAAATTTCCCATGGAAGTGTGCTAAGGCTGAGTGAGTTCTGTTCTGGTTCAGCTGCAGAAGTTCTGAATTACTCCTTTTTGCACAGCCTGTAATCATCACCAGTATTGTACCTGAGGATGCACATAAACCAGATATGGAACACGTGAAGACCACCAAAAATTGCTACGGTATAAGGGCCCAATACAGCAGAAAAAATAGTACATGTTCATATAAAATTTTTCTTATGTATAAGTATCTTTTATAATTACAGGATGAGAAATTCATCTGATGCATCTTTAACAAATGCTAATTTGTGTCTTTTAAAAATAAGATTGCTTAGATCATCCATATCTCAAGGAACAAGAAAAACAATTCAAGAGAGTCAACTCATAGTTAACACTGTTTAGGATTCAAACTGAAACAATCTTTCTAAATCTGATCTCATACTGACGTAAGTTAGAAGAAAATCAATGAAAATGAAAATGAAATGAAAAGTAGTTTCTACATCAGCCTGAATGCAGATATGGTCCTGTTTTCTACTTACAGCATTACACATAAAGATATCTGCATGTCCCTACAAACACACACATGAAAAGCAACTGAAAGATACATCCAACTACATATTCATTCAAAAACATGTTAACCTTTATTTCTTAAAGGAGGGAAAACTTGATTTTCTGGGCTGCATATACCCAGCTCTGCATATATTTGACATCACCTAAGCTACTCCGTACAAGATGCTCAGTTTTTAGAGTGATTTAAAACTGTATGGGCATGGCAGAACAAAAAATGAATTGAATGTCTCTTCTAAAATCATTCTGAAGCATTCATTTTCAGCTTCCCTGTAGCCTTTTCTTCCTGTTCATTACCTTAGTAATCTCACTGCCTAAATTGAGACGGAATTCACAGGCAACTTGCCATATATAAAATTGTAGTGTGTTAATAGTTCTACAGCAGAAGTGTTTGGTTTTATTTTGTTTGTATTCTTACCCTTTTAATTTTGCAGCAAAGCAGATCTTACAGAACAAAGAATGAATGAGTAAAAGTTAAGAATTCTATGTACATTTTTATTTCAAAGGCTCAATAAGTCCCTTCTGAAGAATGGGAAAAGCTTTTTTTAATCGAACCTACATGAGCTGTAAAAATCTAAATATATTTATGTGCACATCATAAACCAATTAATGATGTTGTCTGTGTTTCAGTAATTTAGTTACAAAACCCTAGGCCACATAATCAACTTTGTACAGGACTACCAAAGAGTAAAGAAGATGATGAGTTTCTTGTTTCTAGGTCGGGAACTGGATTTTAGAGAGTCACATTGTCCATCCTTGCCATTTTAAAATTACTGCATAGTCTGCATGACATTTATAGCTCTTTACATCTTCCCAAGAGCTATGTAACAGAAATCCGAAGGAAAATACGACTTCACTAGAAGAGTAGTTTAAACTTCTCAGAGTAATCCTACACAAAATTGACTTGCACTTTCATACTGATCATGTTGCAAATCCTCTTTAACGAGAGTCTGAGGGACAACCAAACACTATTTGACTGATTAACAAAACCAGTAAACACATGAGCTCCACCTGTCTCTAACTCACCAGAGCTTCCTGAGGGACCTGTGCTGCATCCACCCTGTCTGCAGCATAGGCCAAGAGCTGTTTGTCGATGGCAGCAAGAGACTCCTGGAGCAAGCGAAGGGTTTTGTCAGTCTCCTGCGCAGATTGAATACTCTGTTCAAGACTCTTCTGTCTTCTCACAGCCTAAAAAACAACAATGTTATCAGTATTCACAGGAATAATGCATAGAATACATTTTTCCCCACTGTTTTTTTTGTCCCAAAACTTCAGGCAAAGAATCAAACACAGGACTCCTGACTCGGCTCCTCCACCTTTCTGTACGATAAATTGCGCATCTTTTTGCCACTCATTCAGTTCTCTTGGTAAGAAGCAAACAAACAACACTCAGATTGCACAAACAAGTTCTAAAAAATGTCAGATCCTGAAAAACCAGTGCATAAACAGGACTTCTACAGAGAGTGCAAGTTGGCAAAGCTGCACAATGAACCCATCCTGACAGAGCTGACTTTCCTTCTGAGGCATAGAGTCCTCCTGATCTCATTATATAATTCAAGAGACTTTGTTTACTGAGAATAGGGTTACTGCCATCACAATCCCATCCGAGGCAATCCACCTCAGTAAGTGAGAGGGATAAAGACTCTCTTGAGATGAGTTCGCTTATATGGAGTATAAATAGCTGTTTGGAAGAGGAAATACCTACTTTTTTCCTCCTGTGTGTAAAACCCCCAAAAGCTGACTATTGCTTCTGCTGCACCAGCAGTGCCACTGTGAATTGCCTCCATCACCTCCCACACAACCCTTCCTTGAGAAGGATGCATTCCTTCCAAGGGAGCTCAGTTTATGGTTTAACATATCAGAGCAATAAATTTTCCTTCCAATTTGTCCTCAGAGCACACATATATTTAAACATTTAACAGAAATGAGTCAGCTTTAACTATTCTTTGTAACAGTTTAATATGCCATTCGACAGCTAATAAATAACCTAGTGCTCTCGTCCATCTGTCACTGTGTCTACCCATGGACTCATATTTTATTTGGACCACAGCTACTGCCTAGCAGAGCTTCTGCTTTATACAAAGCACACAATAATTACCAACAATCTCAAATGCAACACAGTTTTTCTCTGTCCAAGCCCAGCCAAACTGCTGACCACAGAACAGGGTGACTAACTTTCTGTGACATGAATCAAAGGAGAAAGCAAGCACTCCCTAAATAACATTGCTAGGTGTCCTGTCATTTTTCAAGTCAGATCACACTTGTTCTCTCTGGTGAGCCAGATAGACTTTAATTTGATTTCATACCCATTACAACACTCTTGCCTTGAACAAAAATATCTCTCAGCAATTCACTGAGAATATTTGATATATCTGTACCTTCTTCATGGAGCTGAGATCCTTATAGAGCTTCACATGTAACAAATGAAAAAGATTATTTCTTGTGAGCTTTCTCGCTAGCTGTTTGACTTAGTTAAAGGACAGGGATCCAAACAGTATTTTCTATATTTGTGTTTGTAAGCTGCTTTGTGCTATTTCAAAACAACTGATCAGATAATCTTTTATCACTGCCAGTTCCAGGAACCTTGTGTGGAACTGAGCAGCTTTACATATCAGACTCATGCTGTCAGTGTTAATGGAAGCACCTAAGCCACCAAGGTATTATTACCCTACTAAATGAACCATTAAAACTCTGTAACTCACAACACAGTACTAAGCATTGCTGTTTAAATGTCTCTTATCTTCATCTGATTTGAGATTTTACATCACAATGTCCTCAGACTGTTCAAAGCAGTGAGTTTAAGACCCAGAGCTTCCATCTACCTTGGCACTACTCACTACTAACTCGCAAGCCTGGCTAGGATACAGAACTCTCTCAATCCACTTGCATCACCTACAGCAGATTGAAAGACACAACAGAGCAGAACCAGGGTAAGTAGCTTCCTAGAGCCCATGGTAAGGTCATCCTCCTGCAAGCATGGAAGAATGCTTCTCTGCCTTTACTCTACTAGCACACACACAGAGTCCATTCCTAATGAGGGCTCTAGGATCCTTTTCTTCAGAAAACCTCTGCCATTTAAAATAAGACACTGAGAAACCTCCATTCTTATTAGACATTAAAATATATAGTGAATTCAACAGGGTCAAGCCTGTCATTACAATAATCTGATAAAAGGTACAATACACAGATGTAATGTAACATATTTCTCCAGTACACAATAAAATTCAAAACCCTCAATCTGCTCATACCCTGGTACTATCACTGGCATTGCAGAAGACTCAATTAATACAGCCAAGGGGACTGCCACAATATTGAGACAGCACCTTCTTCTCTTACAGTACAGAAAAGAAAGTTAGTGGTGGAGATAAACATTAAAAAGCATTAGAATGTTTATAAAAAGGGAAAATCATACTACACACATCTGTGAACCTGTTTCAAATTTGTCCTTAAAACTCATGTTTGGGTGAAAATCTACATATGCACACTTTCTAGACATTTAAGTTGATATTTGATATATTATAATATTAAAATATTTTAATGTATGATGTTCTGGGTGGTTGGGGGTGGGGGGCAGTTGTTTGCTTGTTTTCCTGAAAGAATATGTTTTTTCTATTCCCCTGTGGAAAAAAATAGATGGTTTAATGTTGCAGTGTATAAATGGGTCTGAAGACATAACAAGGAGCTCCGACACTGCTATTAGATCAGAGTCAGCAAAGATAAAGTCTTTGGTCTCTAAAGGGAAGTGTCTGACAGTGACTTGCTAAATAGATAATCTGAGGAAAATAACCAACTGCTTAATTATTTCTGAGCCAGTGAAATGTTGACAGCTGTCAAGGAAAACAAAATCAAAGTGGAAAAAAACTGCTGTTAGGCACTATCAGAATGAAAGAGAAAATAAAAAAATGATGGAATGCATTTTTTAATAAGTCTCTGCAGGTTTTTATAGATTTATAGGGGTTTTATGAGAAGCATAACACTTTTTATCATATTGGGTATTGCATAAATCTGTTTACCATTTAACAAAGGTTAATGATATTTGCAGGAAATAATAACATTGAATATTACCCATTTAAAATGCCATATTAAGGGAAGGGTTGCACTATGGGGTGACCAAATGTCAGCAAAGCTGGAGGTGCTCAAATAGTTCCTTATGACTACAGTTCCTTCTTTGATGTTGAATGTTACAAAGCTAAATTTATAGACACTGCCACTTTTTGCTTAAATAATACATTTCATATTTTTAATGACAATAGTCACACACACAGTAACTAAGATTTTGGTTAGAGTTTTATGGTTAAAAGCAAATAGTGTGGTTGAAAAAGTACTCAGTGGTTGTGCTGTGTGAGAAAACTGAAACAAAATATTTTGAAAATTACAGGATTTTTTACTACAGGATATATCTATTTAAACTGCAGAAGCAAATTCCTTAATTAGCTAACAAGTTACAGGACAAGGTCATGGAAAAGTGTCTGCTAAGAAAGGCGGAAATGTTAGCTTGTTTGAGATTTTTTTCTTCACTTACAATCTCATATTATTGAATAAAGTTAAAAAGTTAGGTTAGGAATCTTTGAAAGTCTCTTAGCATGTTTAAATTACTTTAAAATTTAACCTGATTCTTGGTGTTATAATGGCTCATCTGAGATATATTACAACCTCTCTGTACATCTTGCAACAAATTTTTAATGTGTTAATCTCTGTTTGGAATCAGAGTGGATTAATGTTTGTGTTTAGACTGAAATTAGAATGACTTTTTTTTAATTCAAGGCATTCATTTTGGGCCCAGGAATTTTTAATGCCCTCTGAGCTAGAACTAATTCTTCTGCAAATTCTAGTAATACTTCATAGTGTGGTTTTCAAGTAAGTGACTACAAATGTTTGACCTTTCTGCCATTAAGTGATATTCATCTTCTTCCTAAACTGTGAACTGCACCAAGGAGGACTACTCTGTCTCTTTAGGTTATCACTGCAGACAGATAATGTCTGAGAACTTGTAAGAGCAGCTCTCTTAGTAGCCTTCAATGCAATCACATGGAGATAGGGCATGAAATATTCTTTCTCCTCTTGAAAACAGAAAAATTGTGTCAAATGATGAATGTGTGCTCTTTGAAAGAAACACAAGAAATTCTCAGGGGAGTCCTAAAGGTAATTAAGAGCCAGCACCCAAGACAAATAATTGAATCTAGTGTAAAGCCTGTCTGAACAATAATGTTTTGTACAGTTTTTTGCTAGCATAGTCTCAAGAATATCTGGTTGACATTTTTGAAGTTTGCTGGACAGGATGTACATCACTCTCAGCATTCTGGGGGATGATAGCCACTTGCAATATTAGCTTCAAATTCTTTGGTGTTTTGGAGATCCAATATATGGAGCTGTAAGTGAATCAGTCCTTGAAAAGTAACAATAGGGTATATGTGGCTTATCAGTCAGTCCCAAATGTTCAGAAGCAAACTAAACACACTCAGCCTTTGTTAACCAAAGAAGATAAGGCATACAAACATAAAACCATTATCTGCCTTTAAAAAGGAAACTCTATCTCATAGCAAAGCTGCACTGTCTTGCAGCATCATTCACATGGCACTTGGTTGGCTTGGCTGCTCTATTAGGAGGCAATGAATATTTCACATAGCAGTTTCTGCCCACATGAGCTTACTGTGTTGGCAATTACCTGCACAATTATTCAAATAAAACCAAATATTTTCACCACAACAGGACAGCCTATTAGCCTGTCTGAAGTAGAAGTGACCTTGAACATGAGCAGAATTGTGTTATGTGCCTGCAATGTATTTTCATGCTGCTTGGATTTCAACAGACTCTGCAAACAGCACGGAAAATTCAGTGTCAGGAATCTATGAAAAAAGGAAGTTTTGCCACTTCAGAGTCACATCACTGTTAACATTAACTACTAAATAGCACATCAAGCTTTCAAAGAAGTTTTTTTTTGTTTCGCATCATTTGCTTTTCCCCTTTTGTTCCTTCACTTATTAAACTGTCTTCATCTCAGCCCATGAGTTCTCCTGCCTTTGCCTCTTCCATAATCTCCCCCACTGCAGCAGGAGACATGGGGAGGGAGTGAGCAGTCATGTGGTGCTGTGCTACTACTAACCCCCCACACCTATGCAACCATTTCTAACAGAACTCTCTGTTTAATGGAAGGAGAGGCTGATTATTTACCTCCTGC